TTGACTTTAAGTGACTTACAGGTTTGTTTGAAAAACAATTTCTTATATCCAGGTTCTTCCTTTGCGCTGCCATCCTCCTCTCCTCCTCGCAGCGCAGGTTTGCCGCTGCTGAAACTAAACAGAGCTCCCTGAAAGGCTCAGCCAATCACATTGGCCATATTTGTCACATGAGGTAGGACTCCAGGAGAGAACTAATTTAACTCTTTCTGCACCGCTAGGTGAATGAGACGTTGACAGATGTTTTTTTTTTTTCTATCGGGTTAGTTTTTCTTTACTCGAAGAGATCAAATTATTGGTGGGGACATGTCCCCTCCGTCCATGCCAAATCTACACCCTTGGGCCATGAGCAAAGTAGTGAAGTAGTTACACTTTAAATAAATGCTTAAACTAAAAAAAAAAAAGGAAGTAAACATTTTTTTCAGCATCTTTAACAGAATTCATATGTTAGGTAATAAGCCTCAACAACAAAGATCACATACCAGTGGAATGTTAAACCGTTGCTGATGAAAAGGCCGTGTTGAATGTGAAGTCATGTTAGGAATTTGTTCTGCCTTAGGGCAGAGGATTTCAGAGAGATCTTTATTAAGCCCGTGTTTTGAGTCCACAAGCCATCTCCAATGTTTGTCCAACAGTTTTGTTTGTTTTGTTTTGTTTCCCCTGGTCAGCACTCTTTTCTCACATTTTACATCTTGTTTTTCAGGTGGTCTCCTTTGCTCCATTCACACTGTTCCCCACACCTGTACCCAAAGCTGTATTCTCCCAGGCTCTGGCAGTGCAAACACACTACAACACCCTGGTGGACAAGATTAGTCAGGATGCAGACTTCCTACAAGAAGCTTTGGCTAGGTAGGATGCATTATGACCTCATGTATGTGGTTTGGAAGAAAAAAACTCATTATTGTCACAGTCTCTGAAGTCTGTCTTCAAATGACCCGTTAGTTTAATTCAAAATGAATACACTGTGATGAAAAACCTGCTGACAAGATTTGAACAAAGTGTCTGTTTACAGTACCATCGCTGTGGATGATTTCACTGCAAGGTTGTTCAAAATCCACCAACAGATCCTTAAAGAAGGCAGGTCACAGGTACGTCAGCACAGCCCCGATGACACTGGTGTTAGGGGGAGCTCAGGAGGCAGAGTCTGCCAGTTGGAAGTTTGGCGGATTGATTACCCAGTTTGTCCAGATTCCAGTTTTCTTAGGCAAGATGATGAACCCTGAGTTTCCCCCAGTGCATCCAGTGTGTGCGAAGTTAGACAAGGCAGTTTGGATGCTTTTGTGTGGTTGGGTGAATAGGGTTTGCAGTAAAATGCACCTTTCAGTTAGAGCAAAGTGCTGCATAATTACCGTTCCATTTCCCATCATCATTGTACTTGAGCTGTTTGGGCTCTAAGGCCTTGGTGTGTTGCTAAATCCAACAAAGCTGTTGCTTGCACTCAATAAGGATTCAAAAGTAGTGAAAAGAAAGAGTGTATAAAAAATCAAACAGTTTCTAGTTAAGGAAGATTGGATTTCAAATAGAGTATTTGTAGAATGAACATCTTGGGTCATCACTGCAGGTGTGAGGTTGTGTAAACGTTTACAGGAATGATTTTTCAGCCTATCTGTTCCTTTGGGGTGTTGGCTGTTTTGGGTTACCTTCACCACTATGTATTTTCACCATGAAAACCTTTCTATCTGGCTTCTTTTGGGGCCATTTTTGGAGGGAATTTTTTAAAAAGTTGGAAATGGAACGATGATGCAGACTCTTTTCTTTTTGGGCTTCGTATGCTAGCCATTAAATCCTGAGAGATTTCTTATGAAGAAAGACAGGGAACGACAGGGAGGAGAGGGGTGAGAGGCAAAAGCTATATTTTGGCTAAAACTAAAATCTTGTTTCAATTATCAGCTGTTTTGCTTTATTGCTTGACAAAGTTCTTCACAATTTTCTAAAACTCTGTGACATCTTTAGATCTGCTGTTGCATAGAATGAAGAAAACCATTAGGTTCTTACAACAGTGTAGCTGGGACCATAAAAATCTATTAATGGATTATAAAGTGACCAAATGCTGCAGCTGGGATTCTTTGCCTTTGTTACAGTCCATTGTGTTGGGTCTCAATCGGTCTGACTACATGCTGGACCAGAGAGAGAATGACACGCCATCGCTAAAGCAGATAGAGATCAACACCATTGCTGCCGGTGTCGGAGGCCTTTCATCGCGCACGCCAGATGTACACAGGTAAGCAGGTCATTTATGTGTCACCCATATTCTGTAGGTTAGCCACTAAAACTCAGCAGTAAGAGTGATCATGTTGGCCAAGACCTTCAAATATATTTACTGTCATCTTTATAGCCACCGTTTCACACAGCTGCTTTACCCTTATTTTAAAAAAAAGATAAATAAAAACCCCACATTCCTTTATTACCCCTACAGTTGACACCAATCTCTTTGCTTTGCTGTCAGTAGGTTTGGGATTTATTACAGCTATAAACAATCTACAGGGTGGGCCATTTATATGGATACACCGTAATAAATGGGAATGGTTGGTGATATTAAAGTCCTGTTTGTGGCACATTAGTATATGTGAGGGGGCAAACTCCTCAAGATGGGTGGTGACCATGGTGGCCATTTAGAAGTCGGCCATCTTGGATACAACTTTTGTTTTTTCAATAGGAAGAGGGCCATGTGACACATCAAACTTATTGGTAATGTCACAAGAAAAACAATGGTGTGCTTGGTTTCAACGTAACTTTATTCTTTCATGAGTTATTTACAAGTTTCTCTTTGTTCACAGCCATTGACATGTCGAAGAGGTTAACACGTGAGGAGCGGATCGAAATTGTGTTGATATCTGGTGAACGCAGTAACCGGGTCATTGCAGCAGATTTCAATGCAAGACACCCTACGAGACCACCCATCTCCCATGCTACAGTTAGCAAACTGCTTGCTAAGTTTCGTGAAACTGGTTCAGTGTTGGATTTGCCAAAATGTGGACGCAAGAAAACTGTCACTAATGAAGAAACATCAGTGGCTGTCCTAGCTTCATTCAGCAAGAGCCCACAGCGTAGCACTCGCCGCATGTCACTGGAGAGTGGCATTAGTCGAACATCCCTTCAGCGGATATTAGCTACTCACAAATGGCACCCTTACAAACTCCAGCTACTGCAGCACAGAATTTGCAGAATGGGCAAAACAAAAATTGGAACAGGACCCTCAGTTCACGCAGAAGATTTTGTTCAGTGATGAGGCAAACTTTTATGTGAATGGTGAAGTTAACAAACAAAACCACCGCTATTGGTCTGACACTAACCCACATTGGATGGATCCCTCCAAGACTGTTGGAACAACAAAAGTGATGGTTTGGTGTGGTATATGGGGTACAACGATAGTGGGTCCATTCTTCATCAATGGAAACCTCAAGGCCACTGGATATTTGAAATTGCTACATGATGATGTGTTTCCCTCTTTATGCACTGAAGCTGGCACGTTCCCTGAGTTTTTCCAGCAAGATGGTGCACCACCACATTATGGGTGCCAGGTCCGAGCATTCCTAGATGAACAGTTTCCTGGAAAGTGGATTGGTCGTCGTGGGCCAGTTGAATGGCCCCCAAGGTCTCCCGATCTGACCCCCTTAGACTTTTATCTTTGGGGTCATCTGAAGGCAATTGTCTATGGTGTGAAGATACGAGATGTGCAGCACCTGAAACTACGGATACTGGATGCCTGTGCTGGCATTTCTCCTGCGGTGTTGCTATCAGTGTGTGAAGAGTGGGAGAAGAGGGTTGCATTGACAATCCAACACAATGGGCAGCACATTGAACACATTTTATAAGTGGTCAGAAACTTGTAAATAACTCATGAAAGAATAAAGTTACGTTGAAACCAAGCACACCATTGTTTTTCTTGTGACATTACCAATAAGTTTGATGTGTCACATGGCCCTCTTCCTATTGAAAAAACAAAAGTTGTATCCAAGATGGCCGACTTCTAAATGGCCACCATGGTCACCACCCATCTTGAGGAGTTTGCCCCCTCACATATACTAATGTGCCACAAACAGGACTTTAATATCACCAACCATTCCCATGTTATTACGGTGTATCATATAAATGGCCCACCCTGTATAAAAGATAGACATAGCTTTTGTGTCTGAAAAATGAAGCCACTGCAGAAGTTCTTTTAATCTGCATTCTTTTCAATGGCCAAGAGCCTCTTGTGGTTGTGAAAGATATTCCTTTGTATAGACGTCTACATGAAAATGCCCCTGTTATGAGTTTATAGGCTCATTAATGTCATGTCTTATTAAATACAATATAAAGTTAATTTAATATAGACTATATAAGGCAGGATTGATCGACAAGTTGCTAGCCTATGGCTGTACAGTTTCCCTCAGTTTATCAGTTTCAAGGTGGCAAGATGATGGCAGCGAAAATGCTCATCTTAAGGCGTCACAGGCGACTTAGAGTGAGACTGGATTGTTCGAGGCATGGTCAGGAAATAATGATGATAATAATGATAATGTGCTGTGATTAGGTTTGCTGAGAGTGCTTACAATCTTGCTTGACAGACATATCCTGAAGATGGCCGGCAGGCTGGAGGAGAGCGAGCGTATCCTGGATAATAATCCTGCAGCTGGTCTGGCCAGGGCTATTGCCAAAGCCTGGGAGCTCTATGGATCAGAGAAGTAAGAATGAAGTACATCCATCGAGTACATGCCAGACATGCTGTTGATCGCTCTTTGCTTTATTCACTTGGTCTAATTATGTCACCATACATGATGAATTAATTAGTACATCCAGAATAAAACATCTTGCCAGTGGAGCTGTACATTCAAACACTGCTTCTGCTGGTGTGGTTGCTCCGTGCATCATATTATTACAAACATTTCTTCAGGACAACAAAGGCCAGTGACAGTTTTGGTAGTATGGGGCACCAAAAAGCAAATCATTTCAGTTAAAATCAAAACCGTGAGAACTAAAAGTCCAGAAATTTTGAGATGCAGTTGTTGTCGTTGCAGAGCAGTCGTCGCGTTCTTTGTGGAAGACGTCCAGAGAAATATCTTTGATCAGCGATTCGTTGAGTATGAACTTTGGAAGAGGTAGGTGTTACATGTGAAGGGTTAGAGCTCTCATACCTGCATGTTTTCTTTGTGTGGAAGTTAAAACATTATCTTAAAGCATTTGAAGAGTTGTGCTTTTCACCAACATGCCGTGTTTCAGAAACATTCACGTAATAAGACTGCGGTTTGAAGATGTCTTTAAAGCAGGCTCCCTTGATCAGGACAAGAGGCTTTTTGTGTAAGTCGATTTCTGTCAGCTCACAATGCCCTGACACATTATTTAAGTGTATTATTCTCAAACAAAAACTATGTGTTATGCATAGCAGTGGTCCTTAATGTGTCTTTTATGTCGCTTTCACTTCAGGCATGGCAAAGAGGTCGCCGTGGTGTATTTCAGGAATGGTTACATGCCTGACAACTACACTTCTGAACAGGTCCAACTTTTGATTTGCACACAGAATAGAAGATTACATTAGAGTTTAGTTAGAAACATGCAACATGCAGACTTACTTAAAATGATTCGTATTCATGAGAAACTGGAACGTCATTATTATCCAGTTTATTTCTTTCCCTGCCTAGCAACACCAAGTCTAGCCCTGATTGGCTGATATAAGTGACAACAGACCTGTCGCCTTGTCAGTCTGAATGGGGCCCTCTGACCACCACCAGTAGGCGGTAGGCAACCAGTAGGCGACCGAGACTGTTGGTGCCGGGGCTCGAACCGGCAACCTTCCGATTACAAGACAAACTGCCAACTCTTGAGCCACAATGTTCTCTGCAACATTGTGTGTAGATACGTGCAGCTGTGTGTTAATTCTGCTGGCAGGAACAGGAAGTGAAGGAAAACTGGCGAGCACCATGGAACCAACACTTAATTGGACATAACAAGTTAAAACAGTTTGCAAATTTAAGCCAAACTGCTGAATCTACTGTTGATAGCGTGACTCTGTGTTGTTCTCCTTCATTCTTCTGTCTCTGTCAAATCTCAGCATAATATAAACCAACTATTGTCACGCTCTGCTGGTCGGTGTGCTGGCTGTTTTGTCAGGAATCTCAACCACGAGAAAGTTTGTACGAATGAAGCTAAAAAAAACCTGCGACAGTGTGTAAAACGTTATTAGCAGCAGTGAAATAAGATTCCAAGAGTTAGTGAAATGATAGAGGCTGTTTTATGCTGGAAAATCATCTAATGATAAAAAGACAAGCAGAGAATTCATTGTCTGTTTTCCATTGCAGAGCTGGGATGCTCGTCTCCTCATGGAGCGCTCTCGAGCTGTGAAGTGTCCAGATATCAGCTCTCACCTGGCTGGTACCAAGAAGGTTCAGCAAGTGCTCGCCAGACCTGGAGTCCTGGAGAGGTTCTTCCCGGACCAGCCTCAAGCTGTGCAGCAGATCCGAGCTACGTTTGCTGGCCTCTACACTCTAGACATGGTGAGACAAAGGGCACGGTTTTTTCATTGTTTGGAAAGTTTGGCATTAGATAATCCTCACCTGGGTGTTGATGTTCAGTGTAAGCAATATCATTCACATTTTATTCCTCTCATTTATTTCTCTGTGGTTGTGCTCGTCTACAGGGTCCAGAGGGGGACAAAACAGTGTCAATGGCCTTGGCAGCACCAGAGCGGTTTGTCTTGAAGCCTCAGCGAGAAGGAGGAGGTAAACTGAACTTTTTAATAAAGCACACTTGATGTTAACACCAGAAGCAAATGATGGAACTTGTGTTTGCTGCTCACCATTTGTTAAACTCGGGAAGTTTAAGCAGTGCATGGATCTGCACACACGTGCAGTATTTGCTTCATTCCACGTATGAGCTAGCCTCAGTCAAAACAGTGACGACACATACATGACTGCCTGCTGTTTTGCATTACTGTGTATCTACTGTGATTCATGCATGCTGTACTGTGACTGAGATAATAGTGTGTATGAGACACACTTGACAACAACATTGATCAGGATGTGAAAAAGCTACCAGATACAAGTTGTCAGCAGGTTATGGCTGACTAACCACCCTGCCTTACATCACTCTGGGCTAATACTGTAAAAAGCAATCATTAGTTTTCTTTGTAATATCAGAGCATTTGTTTTGATAAATACTTTGGTCAGTATCAGGGTTCATATGAGCTATTTTAGCAGTAATTTTACACATGAACTGGAAGGAGAACTTTGAGGAGCTGATGAATGTAGAAGATGAAAGAGAGAGGAGGATGGAGGAGGGGAGTTAGATGAGAGGGCAATCTGACCAGACCGTTTAACAGAGACTGAGAGGATGCCCGAGGAATGGAGAGGTGTGTTGCTGCTGATTTTCAAGAACAAGACAGATGTGCAAAGTTGTAGTAACTACAGAAGGATAAATCAAGAAGCTATGGGACAAAGTTGCTGAGACTAGGTGAAAATGAGAGGTGACGATCAGTGAGCAGGAGTGTGGCTTCGTGCTGAAAAGAGCACAACAGATTCTCTGGAGAGAAGGTGAAGGAAAGTCAGCTGACGCGAGACAGAATACATGTGAGTCAGAGGGAGGCAGGTATAATGGTGGAGATAGAAGAAGTAGAGATAGTGAAGGTAGATGAGATTTAATACTTGGGGTCAACTATCCACAGCAACAGACAGCACACAAGAGAAGTAAAGAGTTGGGTGCAGGCAGGGTGGAGTGGGTGGAGACAAGTGTCAGAGGGGATTTGTGACAGAAGGATAGCAGCAAAAGTGAAAGGGAAGGATTACAAGATGGCAGTGAGGCCTGCTATGATGTATGGTTTGGTGACAATGGCATTGACAAAAAGACAGGAGGCTGGGCTGAAGGTAGCAGAGCTGAAGATGGAGCTGCCAGGCAGGAGGAAGCGAAAAACCAAAGAGATTGATGGGTGTGGTGAAGGAGGACATGCACAGGGTTGGTGTGACAGAGGAGGATGTTAGGGATAGCATGACAAAGGGGCAGATGATCCGCTGTGGCAACCCCTAAAGGGAGCATCTGAAAGAAAGACTACTTGAGGCAGTATTTGTTTAATATTTCTTTATTCTAAATATGTAGCAACTTGCTTGTACTAGCAAGCAGGCTAGCATTATCCAACATAAGTAGGAAAAAACCCAGCCAAATAAAGATCTCTCCATTTGCCTGTCAGACTGGCCGGGTGTAGCCAGGTGTGGTTCACTGGGTAAAACTGAACTTTCTCTTCACTAATTTTAAAACGTGTTTTACAAAAGTTTGCTCATCTGCTAATGTGAAATAATTCCTATCTAGCCATGTCCATTTTATCTATACTTAAGTGTAGAATTGTTTTTCTAGGTAACAACATTTATGGATCAGAGATCTGCCAGGTCCTGGAACAAGTGAAGGAGAGTACCGAGCGTACAGCCTATATTCTGATGGATAAAATCCATCCAACCCCTGTAAGGAACTATCTGATGAGACAAGGCAGCCCCCTGAAAATAAGCAACTGTCTCAGTGAACTGGGAGTGTTTGGAGCATATGTAAGGTATGTGACCACTACTGCATTGATATTAAATGCATTTTGTTTGTGTCTGTTTTTTTAGAAGTATTTGCAGATTCCCAGTGTAGTGGTTGTTTCTAATTTTAGCCTTTTCTTTGTTTTCTTACAGGCAGGGTAAAGACATGGTGACAAATGAGTGTGTGGGCCATCTGCTGAGGACCAAGAGCTCAGAACACTCAGACGGGGGCGTCGCAGCAGGAGTGGCCGTGCTCGACAATCCTCTGCTGTTCTGAGATTTCACACTCCTGCCTGCACATACAAACCACAGTGAAGTCACAGCAGAAATGTCTCTTTAAAAGAAAAAGAAAAAGTCTTTGTTTATTTTTTTAATAAGTTCAGTAATTAAGTGAAGAAGAGTGATTAGATAAATTGTTTCTTGCATTTTTGAATTAATGATTGTGTTTAGGATTATTTCAGAAACATGTTTAGAGGATCTTTGTAAGCCTGTATTTATTTTAAAAGAAGGGAAGCACTTCTTCGTTCTACAGAAAAGGTGACACATTACAGATGAGTTCATAAAAAGTGTCACTGTCACTCTTTCAAGGCTCTGTCACTTGGTAAAGTAGGCCTAGGCTGCCATCTTGTGGCAGTGTGTTGTTACTACAACATATGAAATTGTGTTTCTATTGGAAATATAATTCAGCGCCACTGAGCCGCTCTCTCAGTTACAAAATGAACCCGTTTTTTTAGACATATAAATCACTAAAGACAGTGAAGCTTTTGGTTTTGTAAAAGTGGTTCATAATCAAAATGCACGTTAATTTTATAAGAGCAGTTTGAAGAGCAGTTAGCGGTGCATTCATGGACGTCTTTTAACTATTAATTTAACAATCTTTTGTCACGATGGCATGAACTACAAACGTGAGCTCCAGGTGAGACTGCACAGAAGAACAAGTGTCCTTAAACTGCATCAACTGATGACTTCTTACAATTTTATTCTGTGTTTTTATAATCTTTGTGTACACATACTAACACAAGCTACTGTAACTTAGAGAAGCTCAGCAATATATTATTAAGTATACAAACAGTTCCAGGTTCTGGACTTTTTGAAGGGCCCACTTTGGATCATGTGAAGGACGTTCAGTTTTTCTTCTTCTAGGCATTGAAGGGTTAATGCTGTCAATTGCAGTGACAGATAACTTGCTGAAGTTGGTGCACCTTGTGGACCAAAGAATAATATCCAGTATGATGTAAATGAAAAAAATAAATCTTATTACTGTAAGGCTGCGCTTTGTTTTCTGTTCATTTACCTAACCCTAGCCCCAAGTAGTGAGATCAGGTTCACATCGATGATCATAGAAATGGAGGACTTTTCAGGAAATGTACTGAAAAAACAAAACAAGAGTAAGATGGGACAGTTAGAAGGAAATAAGAAATGTTCTCAATTCATTTTTAATTAAATAAATTGTTCCCATATGTCTATATGCTGTCAAACTGGCAGCAAGAAACATGGTTTTAAATAGCTTTATATGGCATTACTAGCACCTTCAGATCAGTCTATTGACGAAGAGGTCAGAGGTCAAATGTGACATATCTTTATACACTACTTTCTACAATGTATTGTGACTGTTCTCGTTTGGCTCTTGGCGAAGGCGGTCGCACTTTTCTCCTCTCCTCCTTCCCCTTATCTTCCCTGCTTAGCCTCTTGTGTCCTTGTCTTGTCTCGTGTGTATTACTTTCCCTGGAACAGTCTCTCACTGTCGTTCTCTAAAACCTAAAAGAGAATTATGGATTTGATCAACTGGTCTCTGAATGCTATTGACACCCTTTTCTCAACGAGAAGTCTGGGCTCGGGAGAGCCCGAGTGCCCTGGAGGGACTTTCCCTGCCGGATACACGATGGACGGGTGGCAGAACTGGAGGATCATGTGCCTGGCGGGACTGTCGATCGAGGACGCTGAAGATATCTACCTATTCGGAACCATGATAACAGGGTTCTTGCTGATCGGAGCTGGCTTGGCCCTGGCTTATCGGAGAATTAAGAGAGCGGAACCGGCTGTTCAAACCCCCCCAAGGCTGCCCGCTGGGATTGAAGCGATGGGACGAGGCGCAACCTCTCACAATGAACGCAGCATGGTTAACACCTTGGAGACGCTTACAGCTGCCGTGAAGACTCAAAATAACACCATTGAGCGTATGATGGGATACATCAACGGGATGGGATACATCATACTACAACGGAAAATTGAGAGACCAGTGTCGGAGTGTTAAAGATCAGCTTTGAAATTCTCCTAAGCTGCTCGCATAACAGAAAAATCAACGACATCAACATGCGAACACCACGTCGCCAGCTGCACGGCCCAAGGCTGGAGCCGAACAAAAACTCCCTGATAACGTCTGTTTGATGACTATTCTTCCCATCCCATGCAAGGCCGCCTGGGTTGGCTGGAAAACTGTTTACTTAGCCTGATAGGGTGCAGGACACTGCCTCAGCTGAACTATGGACACGCACACACATACACTTAACTGATAAGCACTCACACATCCCCCCTCCCCTTCCAACGCTTTCGATGCTTGTTGCCTCCTGGGAACAGGAGGCGGGTCTGGGCCCGCACTGGTGAGTCGGCGCAGTGGCAGGATGGCTGCTGTGTTGCCTGGGATTACTCCTTTCCCCTAGCCAACCCTGTTGCTGGTCACGTGCTCTATAATGTTGTACTGTGGACATTTATGTGCTTTTTTGTGCAGAGGAGTGTTTTTTGTTTCCTGTTCTCATGCTGTCCTCCTGCAGCCCAGCATGAGTAGAGGTCTCTTTTTTCCTCTTGTACTTTCCCATTGTAGTGTACATTTCAGTGTTTTTTTCTGTAAAGCAACCATTCTCTGACTTGTATCCCCATGTGATGTCTGTGTTGTGTGTGTAAGGTCGGGGGGCGGGTTCATTTCACTGCAGTTTACTGCATGTGGCGAATAAAAGTTGATTGATTGATTGATTGATTGACAATACACAGTACACTTTTAAGAGTCCTAGTTTCTAAGTTATAAGGCTTTTTGTCAATTTTTGACCAACAAATCATGACACTGACCTTGAAGACCTCTGTGGATGTTGGGTGAAATTAAATGGATTGGTCACATGAGCCCACACTACACCCCCACAAGGTTTTTTTTTTTTTTTAATTTTTGTATCAGAATTCATTCAAGTTATCCTATTTACAGACAATAAGACACAATATCAGGCACAGATGCAAACACTAACACCAACATAACCTCCTTGGCAGAGGTTATGTGATGTGGCTCAAGACTTTTGCACAGTACTGTTCATGTAAAACCTTCATGAAAGTACTTATAACACAGAGAGAATAGTACTACAAGCAAATGAAACTCAATACACTGTCAAAGGCAAATACATGGCTCTTGCTTCCAGAGTGGCACACACTGCACTTCATAAATATCACATCTTCCTTAATTTTTTTTCCTGTCGTTTTTAAGGACATAGTTAGTTAGTGTAGTTAGACATAGTTAGTGTCACATAGTGACACCTCCCTCTGTCTGTCGTAATAGAATTCCATAAATCCTCCCTTCACCCTTCCTGTTTCTCCTCCCGGCCCCCACACCATCCCACCCTCAGGGTCAACACCGGAAGGACGTTTGGGGGAGGCAGGGCACTGGGCAACTGTGTGAGACAGGGATGTGATGACGGCGATGCTAGTTCAGCAGTAGCTCCTTTTTGTCCCTCCTTTGCAGGCAGAGGTCCAGCCTCGTCCACTTCTTCCTTCATCCAATGGGCTACCCCCTGGCACATAATCATAAACTTGCAATACTTACCATATTTTCCTTCAGTGACTTCTTTTCTGATTTTGCTTTTCTGTTCACCGAGTGACCCAGGGCTTCCTCTTCCAATTTTTTCATCCTCTTTTCACATTTCCCACCTTCGTCCTTGAAGATACTCTGTCCTCTAAAGTTTTTTGTTGACTTTCACATAGCTTTCTTACCTCATCTTCCATGTCCTTGCATTCCTTCTCTGCTTCTTTGGAAGTCTTGGTGCACGGGGACTTCCGGTTGAGCTTTGATGGAGTAGGACGCGAGTCTGGGAGCTCCCGCTGATTTCGATTAAATTGTTATTCATTTGCGCTTTTCAGCCATATTTCCAGTCCTGTTTTGGTTTGTGGATTGTTTTGTTGAGAAGTTTTACTCGAGCCAGCGTAAAATGGCAGCAAAAAATGTTAAAACCTGCAGTACTATTCAAACACAACTGAGGCCTAGTTTGCAAACCGCGACCACACCCTCGAGTGAGCCGTTGTCTCCTGCAAAGCCCCCCTCGTGCCAAGCTAATCTTGATATTGAGGCTCTCAAGGTTGAGTTGCTGGCTTCGCTGAGGAAAGATATCGCTGACATCTTTAAAAAGGAACTTCAGGACACTCTGGGTGATGCTTTGTCTACCTCCTAGGACCTGGCGTCCACATATGTGGACATCACATTTTGGGTTATTTAGACCAAAATACTCAGTTTTGCTCTACAAAGGCCTGATATCCACTTACAAGGACATTATGCTGCTACTGTTCTATCAACATTTTAAACGAATATCCTCATATGTGGCTCTTATTTTTCTTAAAAACAAAAATAAGGTAAAAAACAAACAAACTGGTAATTCTTTGTTTTTACATTCATCGGCCCCCAATATGCCCAAATATCAAAGAGAAATCAAAATGCATGCCGTGGAAGAGTTCGGGTCTTAGGAGGTTAAGTTCGACCTGCAGGTGGTGAAGACGCAGCTGGCGATCGATAAAGCTGCCAATGACTCTACCATGTCCGAGCTAAAAGGTACGGTCAAGGAGATGGAACACGCACTTATTGTCTGCTCTGATGATATAGCTGAGATGAAAAACACTATCAAGGGCCTCACAGCTCATGTAGCCAAGCTGGAAAATAAGTGTGAAGACTTGGAGTCCAGGTCGGAGTGCAACAATGTTAGGATAGTGGGAGTACAGGAGGGCCCTGACACATGCACCACTGCTGCCGTAGCCTCCTTGCTAAAATAAGCATTTGATCTGGGGAAGGAGCCGCTTTTGGATCGTTCGCACAGGACCCTCCAACCCACACCTAAGCCTGGCGACCGTCCACGAGCCATTGTATGCAGGTTTCATTACCACACTGACTGTGTTGACATTTTACGACGTGCTAGAGAACGCTGACAGATTAGAGTTGGAAACTGGACCATCTCAGTCTTCCCCGACTACACCGCCAGGGTGGCACGGGCTTGTGCTGCATTCAACACGGTCAGGCAGCAACTCCGTGGCATTGAAGGTGTTCGGTATGGCCTGCTTCATCCAGCATGACTCCGCATCACATATGAGGGTGTCGAGAAGGACTTTGTTTCAGCAGAGGAGGCCAGTGATTATGTCAAAACTTTGATCTCTGGGTGAGCCTCGATAGCCCCTCAGTTTGATGCTGTAATGCTACTAAGGGTTCACGCTCTCGTTAGGTTTAACGCCACCTGTGCATTGTTTTCTTAGGCCGTTGTGCTGGTTATTGTACTGTTGGTGTGCTGGTTCCTTTTGTTTTCATTGTTATACAGGGTGGGCCATTTATATGGCTACACGGTAATAACATGGGAATGGTTGGTGATATTAAAGTCCTGTTTGTGGCACATTAGTATATGTGAGGGGGCAAACTCCTCAAGATGGGTGGTGACCATGGTGGCCATTTAGAAGTCGGCCATCTTGGATACAACTTTTGTTTTTTCAATAGGAAGAGGGCCATGTGACACATCAAACTTATTGGTAATGTCACAAGAAAAACAATGGTGTGCTTGGTTTCAACGTAACTTTATTCTTTCATGAGTTATTTACAAGTTTCTCTTTGTTCACAGCCATTGACATGTCGAAGAGGTTAACACGTGAGGAGCGGATCGAAATTGTGTTGATATCTGGTGAACGCAGTAACCGGGTCATTGCAGCAGATTTCAATGCAAGACACCCTACGAGACCACCCATCTCCCATGCTACAGTTAGCAAACTGCTTGCTAAGTTTCGTGAAACTGGTTCAGTGTTGGATACAACTTTTGTTTTTTCAATAGGAAGAGGGCCATGTGACACATCAAACTTATTGGTAATGTCACAAGAAAAACAATGGTGTGCTTGGTTTCAACGTAACTTTATTCTTTCATGAGTTATTTACAAGTTTCTGACCACTTATAAAATGTGTTCAATGTGCTGCCCATTGTGTTGGATTGTCAATGCAACCCTCTTCTCCCACTCTTCACACACTGATAGCAACACCGCAG